ATTTTTTCCCATTATATTCCAGAAGTCCTCATCTGGACAAACGGACAGTAATAAGACGAGGAAAACGGCTCATGCCTTCAAGACATGTATAACCTAATAAGTAGGCAGAATAAGTGCAGTACAAATATAAACCTCACAGCTAAAGATTATTCACCAAAGCTTGTTTACTTCAAATACTTTGGTTATTCATACCTGCTGGCATTTGGCAACACATCTAAACATATAGAAACTGATGTCCTTTCTTCTCCGCAGGCAGGCTCAGGGATAATCAAGCCTCTGCAGACGCAGATGGGAGACCCCGGTGGGAGACCCCTAACTGCTCTCCTTTGCTAATACACAGGATGAGACCAACTGACTGTCAAAACAAGCTCTCATCTTAAAAGCACAATATTAAAATCAATTTCTAAAATACATTTTAGAGATGAAATTCCAGATTTCATTGCTTATTTCTCATTTTGTATAAGAAGTCCTTTCTTTTGTTCTCCCCATTAATAAGATGGGACTACCCAACATAAACAAGATCAGTATATTAAAATACAGCAGTAGCTCACAATTAATAAAAAGCACACATCAGCCCTGGCCGGTTTGGCTCAGCGGTTGGAGCGTCGGCCTGCCGTCCTGAGAGACCCGGGTTCGGTGTCCGCTAAGGGCGTGTACCTCAGTTGCAGTTTGTCCCCGGCCCTGGTCGGTTGTGCGGGTGGCAGCCACTCGATGTGTTCCTTTCGCATCAATGTTTCTCTCTCTCTCTGTTCCTCTCTCTCCCTCCCACTCTACCTGAACAAAAAATGGAAAAATGTCCTCGGGTGAGAATAAAAAAAAAAAAAAAGCACACATCAGTGACATCAGGACAACTGATTTAAAAACATGGTTAAAGGCAATTATCTTAAAAAACTATTTAAACACGTAATTTCCAAAGCATTTATAATTTATTCTCACTACAATCCTGTAAGTTAAGCATTATTAATTTCATTTGACAGATGAGGAAACTGAAACTTGGGAGGTAAAATGATTTATTCAAGACACAGTTATTGCATAAGGATCACACAATCTTTGACTTTGATCTTATTTTATTCATCCAATCAGCTGTCGAATCCTGTCTATTCTACCTTCATAATTTCTCTTTAATTCATTTCTTTTCTGCATAATCACCGCAACCCACTAGTTCAGAACCTCATTATCAACCCCAAATCTAAGACTCTTTCCTAACCACTCTCCTGGCTTCTGTACTCATCTTGTATATGCAACAGTTTAATCTTCTGAAAGTAAAATTCTGCTCACTTCTCCTTCCTTGCTCAAAACATTTAATAAAGTCATTTCTCAGTCAGGTATTCAAATACTCTTCCCCATTTGTACTCCAGCGACCCTCCTCCCAGCTTATTTCACATTCGTATGCACCAACATCCAAAGCTTTAGCCAAATGGAAACCTACTTATTCATTCAAATTTTGCTTTGAGAAATGACCTTCCCTTCTTCCCACCACCATCTATGCACGTTCAAATTCTAAACACTGTCAATACAAGGCCCAGATCAATGCCATCTCCACCAAGAAGCCCCTACTTCTCTCTTCTCAGACCTCCCCGGCACAGCTGCATCTTCTTCCATTTTCCCCAAGAAATATTTACTGAGTTAACTATTAAGGGCCAGGCACCGTGAAAAATCAGAGAATGAGGAGATGAACATAAAGAACTTTTTCTTTAAAAGCTTACAGTTTATTTAAGGAGACAAAAGTACAAAATAATCACACCTTACAAATACCACAAAAAGCGGTCAGCCTAGGACTCCACTTGCGCCTCAGGGAAGGGAGCACAGATGCTCAGCAGCGCTGGCCCTCGGGCTGCAGGGAAAAGAGGCCCAGCGCCCCAGAGCCGGCCAGAGGACTGGTGCAGAGCTGCACTGCCGTCCGCTGGGGCTGGCGTGGGCGCGGGGGCTGGAGAGGAAGGCATGGGCTTAGAATTCCCAGCTGGGAACACCCTAACGTACCACAAAGGGCTATTTTATGAACCACAACAAATTACTGTTTGTGGAGGCAATTTTTAAACTAAAAAGTATTACACAAATTTAAGGTATCATTTATTTATAAATAACAATGCCTCCTATCTACCTTTTGAATCTAATTGGCCATAGGAATCACCAGACCCATTTTAAGAAACATATAATTAGACAGTAAAAGTTTAACGGCAAATCTACAATGTTGTCAAATATGGATTTTATGACACACCACTCTACTGCTCAGTCTCTCCCCTATACACACATATCCCCCAAGAACACACACATACACAACTTCCAAATGCAAATGGCTTAAGAGCAGCGAACTGACACCCACATTTAAAATGAACACTTAAACATATAAGAAGTATCTTCAACAGAGTTCCCTAATAATTTACCATTTCATTGTTAGCAACTTTCCAAATTATAAAACCTGAACTATCTGTTTGCAGACACAACTCGAAGGGGACTTTCCATTTTCTCCTCAGCACCAATAAATTCACAATCTAAACATTAGAGTGTCACATGGATTCCTAACATTTTAATATTTCTTCAGGAACTCAAATTGGTCAATGTAATGCCAGACTGTATAGCAAATAGTTGTCTTCACTGTGCAGATTTATATTAAGGAACAGAGCTCGCCCTTAACACTGTCATTTAGAAACATACAACCTAGGAGCCTGAAACGATGGCAAATGGTGGCCACTGGGAAAAAGAGAAGTGGGCAGTGGCAAGGAGGTACGTGAATAATTGTAAACTACCATGAAATGGTTCAGGGAAGGGGCTTCTGGCTATGATGGCACGAACAGGTCAGTGAAGCTCTCCTCAAAATAGCACAACAGTAAGAAAGCGGGACAACAGTCATTTCAGGGTTCTGGAAGCAATCAAAGGCAAATAATGACCTGAGAAATTCCTTGAAAAATTGCTAGAGCTTAGAGTAAGACCAGCAGGAGTCTATAAACTTACTGCCTGGGCTATTCTAACCCACTTAAACTCCAACTCCAATCCCTCAGCAATGATGGGGAGAATTTGGTTTTATTCGCATAGGGTTGGGGCCATGAAACCAGTAGACTCAACCTGGAGCATCTAGAGGAGGGAGACAGTGGAAAACCCACAGCTCTGTCAGCTACAAGGAGCAAACTTAGTAGAAACCTAACGGGAAATACAGTTTGTCCTAGCTTGAGTTTGTGGTCTAACTGAGATGAGTGAGTGGTGGACCAGACAGAAATCTAAAGGGGAAACCATAGAAATGAGACAATCACAGAAGAGCTAGGTACTCGCTTCTCACTTTCCTCACTGACCATGAATCTACATGGATGAAGGGGAGAGTCAAAAGGGCTCAAGAGAAAGAAAAAATCTAAGGCCAACTTGAGAACTGGCTGAATCCCGAACGTGCTCCCCAACCCACAAACACGGTGAAAGCTTTACAAGCGCGAGATGCTCACACACAGCCTCTACTCAGATGACTGCTGGACCACTGAGCTATGGAGACACAGGGGTGACTTCTAGCCAAGCTTAAAAGTAAAAATGAGAACGAAAATCACTAAGCAGAAACATTAGTGGCTGCATACCAAAGAGTAACTTAAGTCCAGACAAATTACTTAAGTCCATTCCACAGTTTAAGTCCAGGCAAATTACTTAAAACACATACATACAAATCTTATATGGCTTAATGGCTGAATAAAGCTTTTCTGATAATCTGATAGAGGAAAGGCAAAAGACTCTAAAACCTACAGAGAGATCTTTCTATATAGAGTATAAAACGTTTTACCTTTGGATATATACTACATAATCCCACAAACAATATGATTTCCTGTAGGATAATATATATGTGATACATACCTACTGTTAATTTAAGACATTTCTTTTCCTTTAGCAAGTTAGTAGTAAGAAGTGAAGTCAGAGATTGGGGCCAGGGATTAGTAAACAGTTTGAATTTTATTCTGAATATCTTGGGGAACCATTAGAGTTACGTAGAAAAATACCATTATTTGCATTAAAAAAAAGACTCATCTTGGCTGCTATGTGAATGGCAGCAGCAATACAGGAAACAAGTGATGAGGTCTGAAATACAGTAGTGATGATGATGATAAATACCTTGCATGAATTAAACGCTTCCAAATCTCCTAACAGCCACTTGTAGGTACTACTGTCTTCATTTTACAGATGAGCAAGCCAAGGTAGAAAGAGATCAAATAATTGCCCCAAGGTCATACTGCTAAGTCAGGGTCATATTAGGACCCAAACCCAAGAAATCTGGCAGAAGAGCTGAGCTCTTAGTCATGTACACTATGCAGATGTTTTCTTAAGATAAAGAGAAGAAGCTGAAGTAAGAAAATATTTTAATGTTGTGGTTGCCAAGACATGCTAATGGATAAGATGCAGAGATGAAGGAAATAAAGAAATAAAAAATGACTTCCCGGGTTTTGCATGAGCAACCAGAAAAATTTAGTAGTACAATTATATATAGAGAGGATGTAAAATTAGAGGAAAGGGGATCCTAGGATCCAGGCCTAAAATACTGCAACACTTAAAAGTTGAACAGAGAAAGAGGAACCAGCAAAAGAGACTGAGAAAGAACTCCCAATGCTTAGGAGGAAAACAGGGGGTGTCACAAAAGCCAATAGATGGAGTATTTCAAGGAGGAGAGGGAAAGCAGTGTGTAGAATGCAGCTGAATGACTGTGCACGAGAACAGAGAAGGAATAGTGAGATTTTGCAGAATGAAAGTTACTGGTGAAGTCGAAAAAAGCAGCATCCCCCTAAGTCTAACTCACCAGCGCACTTACCTTGTTAAACTGTCTGTTCCACCTCCAGACTGGAAGCTCCTGGGCAGGGCTGTGAGTCTGAGTGCTAAATCCTTAACCATGCTTGGAGTACAATTGAAAGGACATAAATGCTATGTAGTGTAATGTAAATGCTACATTAATTCAAAGGGTTTCTGGTATGAGGATTAAGGTGAGGATTTCAAAGACAACATGCACCCTTGCATTTTCCACCTCATAATTCACATACCGTAAGAGATCCATTTTGTGTGCTGGGTGAGTTGCTACTCTGCTCTCCGTGGGCTTGCGTGCTTCCATAGAGTGTCAGGTTGTGTTCACTTGTCTGGCCGGCATAGTCCTGAGTGTGTGGCACTCCATATTCTGTGGGAATTCCGTTCTGTGGAGGAGGTGGAAACGGGATGGTAGTAAAAGGCTGAACCATTGCGTCAGGAGTTGTTGTTGGCTCCTGGTTACCCTATAAGAAATAGAGAGAAAATAAGGAAAGAAGTGACTTTAACTTCTCATTACATAATTATTATTATTTTTGTTAATCCTCACCTGAGGAGATATATATATATCTTCAGACAGAGTAGGAGGGAGAAACATCGACTGGTTGCCTCCCGCACGCACGACCCCAATGGGGCCCAGGGACAAACTGCAACCAAGGTACGTGCCCTTAGCGGGAACCGAACCCGGGTCTCTCTGGACCGCTGGCCGATGCTCTAAGCGCTGAGCCAAACCGGCCAGGGTACCTGAGGATATTTTTCCATTGATTTTTAGACAGAGTTGGGGGGGGGGGGGGAGAGCGAGACATCTATGTGAAAGAAACACATCGACTGGTTGCCTCCAGCACCTGGGATCAAACCTGCAACCCAGGTACATGCCCTCGACTGGGAATCAAACCCAAGCCCCTTCAGTCCTCGGGCTGACTCTCTAACTGCTGATCCAAACCAGCCAGGGCCATTACATAATTGTTTTTAAGGTTAGTATACAAATTTCTCCGAAGACTCCCTCACTGCTCAGGTAAAATAAAACACTGTTTAGGATTGGGGAAAATATTCACACACACGTATGCAGACACACAAACATATACCCAACTTGGGTCAATTTGTGGTTATTAAACAGGTCCATCTCCATATTCAAGTTGACTAGCTACCAAAGGGTCAAAAATTTTCCTTCAAGTTTTAAAAAATGCCAGGAAATCCCTCACACAAAGTAAGGTGCAGCCGGCCCGCGTTTCCCGCGGGGAAGCAGTGCAGGCTCGGCCGCGCGAGTGAATTTCCGGAGTGGGGTTGTTGATTTCAGAGTCGTCCCTGCCCTGTGGCTTCGCCTGCCTTCACAGCCTCACTCTGCCGCAGGTTGTCCAACACTGTGCTTGAATACTGTATTTCGGGTTTCCCCATACTGTGCTTGAATACTGTATTTTGAAAAACCGCCATAGAGTGAAGCCGCAGAAGTCGACAAGCGAAATGGCGAGGGACGACTGTGTAAGAGTTGAAATTAGCCCTGGCTGGTGTGGCTCAGTTGCTTGCGTGTTGTCCCATAACAGCAACTGAAAGGTCGCTGGTTTGATTCCTGGTCAGGGCACGAGCCCGGGTTGCGGCTCGATCCCTGGTGGGGTGTGCGGGAGGCAGCAGGCTGATGTTGCACTCTCACGTCCACAGTTCTCTCCTTCTCCCTTCCTCTCTCTCAAAATCAATAAATCATTCTTTAAAAAAAAGTTGAAATTAGTTTGGGCCATTAGTATTTTCTTTAGGGCATTCTATTGCTTTAGTGATTCTTAGGGGAAAACAAAAATTATTAAATTACAATTCATAGCAATAGGTAGAATGACATAAATTAAATTCTCAAAACCAGATAACAGAGACCTCTCGATTTTAAGAGCATAGAAGAGAAAGTATATTATTAAAAAAATTAATCTTTGGATTTCAAGATACAGATTTATTTATGTCTTGGTTACTAAGTTAACATAATAATAATAATAATAACTTTCCATAAATTAGAATACACAAAAATTCCCCAGACAGAAAAAAACTTTAGTTTTCTATAATTACCGCCAGCACTATCAAGTTAACAATATAGTAAGACTCCTCTCCACATGCTATCTATTCCCACACGTTTGCTTGGGATTCAGTGTGATATTTGAAATAACAATAAAGAATATGCAGTAACTATAGGAAATTATTAGAAGCCATTTTGGTTCCACAGTCGTTCTCTTACTTCTGTTTTTTTAAGTTAACATACAAAAGATGAGTTTACATCTTGTGTAATAGATTTGGCAAAGCCCTCCCTTCTAAACAATTCACCCCTTGACCTCCCATTTTATTCCACAAAAAGTAAAGCCATTATTTTACCAAAGATACACAAGTCTGCAGTCTTGAGACATTGTCCTTCTGGAAGTTGTTGGCAGAGATGGCTTCAAAATGTTATTTAGCACTTTGATAAATGTCCTCCCAACCCCATATTTTAGACATCAAATCATTAGGAATTAAAGAAAATCTGGGTTTATGTCACTTGGCTTCCTCCTAGTCATGAGCATCACTTCCTTCAAACAAGGAAGTAATGCTTTCTTTCTCTCTTAGCCCCAATTATCCTTCTCCCCACTCAATTCAAGAAGGGATTCTCTACCCACTGAGAGCTGCAGGAAACTGAACTTTCAGCAGCATTTTCTAAACCTCATGCCAGGCTTTCAACATTAATTAGATGACCATTAAAACTTATACTATCTCAAACAAAATGCATCCAAAGCTACATAAAGATCTCACACTAATTTTAAAGAGTCAACCACCATTACTAAAATCAGTTATTCTGCAAAAAATAAAACAGAAAAATCTACAAAGGCTACTATAAATGGAGAAATATGTGATCATGGATTGGAAAGATTGATAATTCTTAAGATGATCATTTACCTAAAACTCCACAGACCCAAACAAAAACTCAGCATGTATTTTTGCAGAAATTGACAAGCTATTATTAAAATTTATATGGAAATACAAAGGACCTAGAATAGCCAAAACAGTTTTGAAAAAAATAACAAAAATTGGAGGACTTACACTACCTGTTTTTAGAATTATTATAAAGCTACAGTAATCAAAACTGTGGTATTGGCTTAAAGATAGACAAATAGATGAATGAGATAGAAAGAAACCAGAGATAGACACATGCATATAATTCAATATTAAAGCATCAAATCGAATCAATGGGGGAAAGTTGTTTCAAAAATAAAAAAATGGCCCTGGCCGGTTTGGCTCAGCGGTTAGAGCGTCGGCCTGCAGTCCAGAGAGACCCGGGTTCGGTTCCCACTTAAGGGCATGTCCCTCGGTTGCAGTTTGTCCCCGGCCCTGGTTGGTTGTGCGGGTGGCAGCCACTTGATGTGTCCCTTTCACATCGATGTTTCTCTCTCTCTCTCTCTCTCTTCCTCTCTCTCCCTCCCACTCTATCTGTACAAAAAATGGAAAAATGTCATCGGGTGAGGATAAAAAAATTAAAAAATTAAAAAAATGAATACCCAATGGAAATAAAATAAACCTCAACTCTTATTCCATATGCAAAAGTTAACAGACCTAAATGTTAACAGAGCTAAAACTTTTAGAAAAAACAAAAAACAGGAAAATCTTCACAACTTCATAATAAACTAAGAATTCTTGAGACACAAACAGTAAAAACTATTAAAGAAAAAGTTGATAAACTAGACTTCAGAACAATTAAAAAGCTGCTTTCTGAAGGACTTCATTAAGCTAAAAAGATAAGACAGAGACTGGGAGACAGTATTCATAACACATACATCTGACAAAGGACATATATCCAGAATCTATAAAAGAACTAATACAAATTATAATGAAGGCAAAGTATTTCTTTAGAAATGGGCTAACGAGTTTGACAGACAACCTCCCAGAAAAAGATATATAAATGGGCAGAAAAGACATGAATGGGAAGCTCAAAGATGTGTTACCAGGGACACGAAATTAAAACCAAATGAGACACCATTTTACTCTAGAATGGCTAAAACACTGAAACACCAAACACTGACAAGGATGTGTAACAACAAGAACTTTCTTACATTGCTTATCAAAGTGTACCATGGTACATGTACTTTATAGGACTGTTTTTCAGTTCTCCTTTTTTTATGAAGTTAAAACACTACCTATATATATCCAAAAGAAAAGCGTACGTGTATAAAAACACTTGTGCAAGACTGTTCACGGAAGCCTTATTCAGAATTGCTCCAATCTCAGATTGTACTGAAATCAACAGGAAAAAATATAAACTGTGGTCTATTCATAAAATGGAATGCTACACAGCAAAAAAAAAAAAAAAAGAATGAATTAACTTATAACATGGATGAATCTTTTTTTTTTTTTTTTATCCTCACCCGAGGATATTTTTCCATTTTTGTACAGATAGAGTGGGAGGGAGAGAGAGGAAGGGAGAGAGAGAGAGAAACATCGACATGAAGGGACACATCGAGTGGCTGCCACCCACACGACCAACCAGGGCCGGGGACAAACTGCAACCGAAGTACGTGCCCTTAGCGGGAACCGAACCCAGGTCTCTCCGGACCACAGGCCGACGCTCTAACCGCTGAGCCAAACTGGCCAGGGCTAACATGGATGAATCTTAACAATGCATTTAATGAAAGAAAACAGACACAAAACACCATTCATATGAAGTGTAGTAGCAAGAATAGAAAAAACTAATTTGTGGTAAAAGAAATGAAAAAGTCGTGTTTTTGGGTGGGGATCTTGATGGAAATTTGGTGGGGAACATTCTAGGATGATGGAAATGTTAAATATTTTGTTATGGGTGGTGGTATCAAACTGTTACAATTCGTTACAATGAATACTTGGTCAACATGTTGCTATGTTAATTATAACAACAACAACAACAAAAAGACAATAAAAGCCATCAGCAACCATCTGTTAAACTGTGAAATACTTCACATTATTCTTTAAAAATCAGAAGATAATTACACCCATCATTATTGATACTAATACATATAATAAGACAATAAAAATAAGAGATAAGCTATCCTTAACAAATATGGCTATATACTGTGAAAAGCCAAAAGAATTAACTACAGACTGTAGTAGACCTAATATGAAAAATGTCAGATTTCTAGCAGTAACCAGTTACTCAAAAGAGTAACAACATTTTATTATAATATAAAACATAGAATATATAAAACAAGACCCAAATAAATAGAAAAATGTATTTTCTGGAGGAATACTTGATATAATAATGTGAATCCTTCCCAAAATAAAATGTATACCTAATGTCATTTCTAATCAGAAGCAAATGTGTCTGGGGGGAAGGCAAGAGGACTAAATGTATTTCCAATTTGTATACGAAAAACCACTAGGAAAGTTTGGGAAAGGACAAACTATGAAGTGGGGCATGTTCTATCATGTATTAAAACTTGCCATAAGCCCTGGCTGGTTTGGCTTAGCGGTTAGAGCGTCGGCCCGCAGACCAGAG